ATGAGCCCCCTTAAAGAGGTTAGAGCAAGAGTGAAACATGTCTGGCTTTATTTTATTCCTTTGATAGAAGAAAAATGAGCACTATTTAATGTAGATAAATGGATGGAAAATGAGAGAATGGGAAGAGTTATGCGTATGTATGTGTTTTTGTTCGTGTATAACTGTGAGTGCATTTATTAGAATTAGAAATATATATATTTAATATATGTTATATGAAATATATTATTTATGTAAATTATGCACATGATGTCTGTATTATCTAGTTTGCTCCTTAGGCGTCCCTTCGCATTCTCTTTTTGAGTATGAGTATTGTGCTCTCATGAGTACTGTGCTCTCCTCTCCCTATTTTGAGGGACCACTCAATGACTTCAGGCTGTTATTAGGTGCCCAGATTCCTCATGTGACCCTTCCCTTGACTTCATTTCATTTCCACTGAGTTCTGTTAAGTATTATTTTTACATGATAAATGAAATTAATATGAAGTATTAACCGAGAGTTACTTAATATATTTTACTGCCAAAATTAATTTTTGCAACAAGTAATAAAACAATTTCAGGACATGCAATTATATTAGCAGAAAAATTTAAGCCCTGAGTGATTTTTGCTGATGCCATGTAGAAAATGTCTATTTGTCCTAAACACGAGGTATGGTTATGATCTTTGGATATATGCTTTGTGTCGGTGAATATATTTTAAACTTTTGCATTTATAATTTAGACTTTTTAAATGCCCATTAAACCTCTTGGACTCTGCTACAAAGTAAAAATTCTACTTGAGTTTAATTGAGGCAGCCTCTTTCATCCTGATAAAGAGCCCTCCTTACCCTCATCCCAACCCCCTCCATTCAGGTTCAACCTCATAATTCAACACATAAGACCAGAAAGCCTACTCCCTTCCTCAATAACACACACCAAAGAAGGGAAGGACAGTTGTTCTGAATTCACCATATGAATTTACAGCATGAATAAGCTAGTGGACTAAATGAGTTAACTAATCACTAAATGAAATATGTTTTTGAAATTATGTGCCCATATAATTAAAAATTTAGATATAAATGTTAATGTTATTACTTTTAATACCCAAATGTTTGCCATTTTATAGGAAAAATAACCTCTATAATCTCTGGAAGCTGGCTGTCATTCATATAAAGAAAATCCTTGAAAAATAATTCCAACTCGAAATTTACAGTTGACAAATGAAAATGCTGTTTACATATATTATTTGAATATATTAAGCATCTGTATTACCAGATTTTGCCCATTTAACTTGATTTGTCATAAGCTGTAAATTATTTGAGTATATTTTATTCCTTTAACATTCTTTTTTTCTCCCTTCTTTTTTTTTTTTCTGTGATAAGTTTTACCTTGGCTTCTAATAGTTATCTCTCAGGAAAACACTTTGCTTCCACAACAGCCTTCACATGACTCTCTGTAGAGTGTCTTCTCTTTCATGCCATCTGCTGAGGCTTCTGAAGGACACTGCCCCAAAATTTATTCCATGGGTCATTGTCATTTCTCTCAGACTCAGTGTTTCAAGTTATTTTTTAAAGGTTGATATTGTGAAAAGTAGCCAACACATTATCCTTTCTCTGAATTCTTGTAATGTTTTCCTCCTTTTGTGAGCAGGGTAATGGGCATGACCAATAGCAGTGTGAGAGGAGACTTCATTTTTTCCCCTTTTTTTTTTTTTTTTTTTCTGTGATAAGTTTTACCTTGGCTTCTAATAGTTATCTCTCAGGAAAACACTTTGCTTCCACAACAGCCTTCACATGACTCTCTGTAGAGTGTCTTCTCTTTCATGCCATCTGCTGAGGCTTCTGAAGGACACTGCCCCAAAATTTATTCCATGGGTCATTGTCATTTCTCTCAGACTCAGTGTTTCAGAGTTATTTTTTAAAGGTTGATATTGTGAAAAGTAGCCAACACATTATCCTTTCTCTGAATTCTTGTAATGTTTTCCTCCTTTTGTGAGCAGGGTAATGGGCATGACCAATAGCAGTGTGAGAGGAGACTTCATCCTGGAGGGCTTCTCTGACCAGCCCCTGCTGGAAAAGATACTCTTCTGGGTTGTTTTGATATCTTATCTCCTTACCCTTGTAGGAAATACAGTAATCATTTTGATCTCCTCCATAGACCCTAAACTCAAAACTCCCATGTACTTTTTCCTTACTCACCTCTCCCTAGTTGATATCTGTTTTACCACCAGTATTGTCCCCCAGCTGCTGTGGAACCTAAAAGGACCAGCCAAGACCATCACATCCCTGGGTTGTGCTGTCCAGCTCTATGTCTCCCTGGCATTGGGCTCTACTGAGTGTGTTCTCCTGGCGGTAATGGCTTTTGATCGTTATGCTGCAGTTTGCAAACCCCTCCACTATGCAGCCGTGATGAACCCACAGCTGTGCCAGGCTCTGGCGGGAGTCGCATGGCTCAGTGGAGCTGGAAACACTCTTATCCAGGGCACCATCACTCTCTGGCTGCCTCGCTGTGGACACCAGTGGCTCCGTCATTTCTTCTGTGAGGTGCCCTCTATGATTAAGCTTGCATGTGTGGACACTCGTGCCAATGTGGTCCAGCTCTTCGTTGCTTCATTGGTCTTGCTCCTCTTGCCCCTAGCACTGATATTAACATCCTATGGACATATAGCCCAGGCAGTCATAAAGATCAAGTCAGCCCAGGCCTGTCGCAAAGCCCTAGGGACATGTGGATCCCATCTAATTGTAGTGTCCCTCTTCTATGGGACCATCACAGCTGTCTACATCCATCCCAACAGTTCTTATGCCCACACTCACGGGAAATTCATCTCCCTCTTCTATACAGTTGTAACCCCGACCCTTAATCCCCTCATCTACACACTGAAAAATAAAGATGTGAAAAGAGCAGTGGGAAGACTATTTCACAGAGACCTAGGCATATAAAAACTGCAGCAGAGTACATAGCAGTCAATTTTTCATTTTTTTTTTTTTTTTCCTTTTTGTCTTTTTTCGTGTCTGGCAATGGATTGCAACCCTCAG